CCAGTCCAACCCCCTGCCATGCAGGAATGCACAGCCAAACCACCCCCGACAGATGGCCATCCAGCCTCTGTTTAAAAACCTCCAAAGAAAGAGACTCTACCACACTTCGAGGGAGTGTGTTCCACTGTCGAACAGTTCTGTGGTTTCCTCCCATAGCAACTATCAGCGTGAATTTTAGACCAAAAGACACCACAAATTCAGTTTCTATTTCTCTTCTATTCAATTTCTGGTCACAATTCAAAGTGCTGGTCATGACCCATATGGTCCTATACAGGTTGGGACCAGTCCTCATGAGAACAAGCATGAGATTTCAGAGCTACAGAGCAAGGATTTTGATTGGTCCCATCACCCAAGAGCCAGCCTCCTTAGTAACTCCTCTCAGGCTGTGGAACTTCCTTTTGTAGGAGGCTCGCATGGCCCTATTCCTGCTCTCCTTCAACCAGCAGAAGATGAGTTTTTATTTAGTCAGTGACTGGGGTCATCACTGAAAGAGTTTTTTAATGGGAGTGCTGTCATTTATTTATTTTTACGCATTTGTTATGGTTTTAAAATGTTTTTAAACTGTTTTAAATTCAGAGCTGTTTCAATATGATAGTTTATTTTAGTGAGAAACTCTGGCTCAGACTATTTCTGAGTTTTGAAAGTTGATTTAGGTGGTTGATGGCTATTTTCATTGAACTGGATCCAGACTTAGTCATAGTTAGAAAAGGCCAATTGAAAGCAATTGGCTTTAACTAGAGACACAAAGTTTCCAGAGGTTTTGTAGCATGAAATTATTCTATGTGGGACATTAAAAGTAGAGTTTATTCAGATAATAATTACAAACTGTTTTTTTTTCTTTTCTTTCTTACTCTCCTTCCCTCTCCCCCCCCATAAATGGCACCAAAAATGTCCTGAACTGTAAAGAACCTTTGGTTTTAGCTAGTTTATGAGGAACAGGCAAAAATAAATAAATAAACAGAAGAAACCATTGATATAAGTAAAAGAAAATAAGTTATTTTGTCTTCTCTTGTTCTGCATAGTAACATGCAGACATTATAAACAGAGTCCCACAAGAAGTAAGGAAAAAAGAAATCCAGGATCAGGAATTGCAATTACCATATATACTCCTCTATAGGTCGGAAAATTTATGCCCCAAAATTGACCCAAAATGCCAGGTTGACTTACCTTATTTTCCTGCGTATAAGACTACTTTTTAACCTGCAAAATTTGTGGTTAAAGTGGGGGGGGGGTCGTCTTATACGCCGGGTATAAGGATAAGGAGGATAGAGGTGCTACAACTCTATATTTTGACTGGAAAAATGGGGGGTCGTCTTATACTCAGGGTCGTCTTATACGCCGGAAAATACGGCATTTACAGGTCAGTATGGTAATATGATATCAGCTCTTTTCGATTTCCCCATGCGGTGGACAGAAAATTTCTTTATCTTTTGAGCCAAGCAGAGTCTTGATTTATTGCTCTTAAACAAACAAACAGCAAAGTGAAGGCTGAAATCAAAGTTGAAAGCAAAAAGGCTCAATTAGTTTCTCTTGCCCTGTGCACACATATACACACTGAAGTTTTACTTGAGGCCTCCAAGTTTTACCCTTGACTTATACATGGGTCATGGTAAAATCCGTAATTTTGGCCCCCAAACCTGCCCTTGACTTATACATGAAGCTGCCTTATAGCTGAGAATATACGGTATATTATATTGTAAAGTGTCTTTTAAAAGTCTGCCTGTTACATAGTTTTTAGAAAAAATGTTGGGAAATTAATATATGAATTGTTGCTGTGTGCCTTCAAGTTGTTTCTAACTTATGACTCTAAAATGAACCTATCCCAAGGTTTTCTGAGGCTGAGATTGTGTGACTCAGCCAAGGTCACCCAGTAGGTTTCCATCACCAAGCTGGGAATTGAAGCCTGATCTCCAGAGTTATATTCCAATGCTGAAACCTCTACACCAGGGGTAGGCAACCTAAGGCCCAGGGGCCGGATGCGGCCCCCCGAGGCCTTTGGACTGGCCCCAGGCCAGTCCTGCCACCGCTGCCGCCGCCGCCCACTATGATGATATTGATTATTGTTGTTATTACTTGTTCTTGGGGGTTTCTTGGCAAAATCTCCACAGGGGTTTTGCCATGGGTTTTCTGGGGCTGAGAGAGTGTGCATGCATATTTTTTAAAGTTTTTAAATTTATTTATTTATTTATGTATTTATTTATTTTTGGTGCTTTGGCCCTTGAATTGTCTGAGGGACAGCAACCCGGCCCCCGGCTCAAAAAGGTTGCCTACCTCTGCTCTACACCATGCTAGCTCACAAATTCATGAATACCTTAAACATTTTAGCTATCATTATAAAATAAAATACTACATAAATTTTCCAACATAAATTATTTTGGGAAAAACCAAAAGCAAATCAAAGAAACACAAAAGTTATTTTGGAAGAAAAACGAAAGAAAACAAAAAAAAAAACCTTTTGAAAAATAGGGACAAAAACATTCCAACCTTAGCCTGGGCTTTCTCATCTTTACATTTAATTTAATCATCACCCTTGATTTCACTGCATCTGCTCTTCGATACAGAATCATAGAATCAGAGAGTTGGAATGATTAAACCCAGCTCCAACACATTAATTGTCATTTGATTACAGCAACAACAAAAGTGGATATAATTTCAAATAAGAAACTAGCTGGATTTTCCTTTGGGTTAACTTTATTTCAATAAAGAAAGAAACCAAACACAAAAAGGCATGCACTATTTTTAGAACACTATTCTTATTTCTATTATCACTCACCATGGTCTTCATAAGGATCATTGGGATCATCTGCTACCAGTTCAGCGCTGCTTGGTGTTTCATGGTCTTCTTTGGTCACAAATATAATTCTGTCCTTTCCTGATAATTTAAATATACATAAAACACCTCAGAAGAGCATTATGTCCAGATAAAACTGGTTGTTCAAAGCCACTGCCCAATCTAAGCCTTTGAACAATTCTGTAAACAGTTGCATTCCTGTGAGAAGCTAATGAGTCTATTCTACCAGGCCCTGAGGGATTTCAGCCAAAGCTGGACATGGGTCTGAGCATTACATCTAATTAAAGTGAATGGGGGAACAACCTTCGAAAACTGAGGATCAACACCGTGCCTTCATTTTATTACATTTTGCACACTTTTGGTCAAAGCTTGCAAGGAAAATCTAGAAAGAAACAGACTGTATTAAATTTTAAAAAGTGGATGATTTTATACAAATGTTATTTTTATTTTTTTTAAAAAGATGGTATGAAATAGTTAGGGACCAATGAATCTCATTAGTCAATAATGGCAGGACAAACAGTAATGAGCTTATGGTGGCAGCAGGATAATATAACTTCCATTGTGAATCAATTTGCTTTGATTTTATAGTGGAGCTGGAACAAGACGAGTATGGTCACATGAACCAGCTATCCTAGGATGACCCTGCAACAGATATTTTCCTAGGACACATCCCACTGTCTGGCCCTACAACATTAAAGTCATGCATCAGCACTTCTGAGGAAAAGTTCATCAAAAGTGATGCTTAACCCAAAATAATCTCCATAGGCCAGAGACAACTGAAACATTTTAAAAATCTTATTTTAACAGTAGTCACCCCAGTCATTTTACAGGAGCCAATTCGTTTCATTGTAATTTAATTTTAGCCAAGTGAGACCACTTAGAAAAGCAAGCCCTAAAAACAGAACTGCAAAGGACTTTGGTTCTAATCAACATGAAGTTTATGTAACCTGAAATATTTTGTCAACATTACATTTGACTTTTAAATCTAATAGCAAGTTCATCCCGAATCTTTACGCAGGCAAAGCAAGACATTGTCTCAAAATGGTGAGATATCAACAGGGTTGGGGGGGGGGGG